TTGCACAGATGGATGCAGCCAAACCGAGAAATATATAAAAAGTTGAGGCATCATCATATTTTAATTAACCTGTACCTTGGAGGTCTACTACTACACCAATGCACCAGTGTGTGTGTTTGTGGCTGGGGGTAATAACATATGTAAAATTATTGGTTTATCCTTCCCAGTATACTTCCTCCAAAAACATATTATTTATTTTTTTATGAATACACTTTATAAGAAAAATAAAATAATCTATTCTCATTTTGTTTAAAGATGTACATTCATTTCCTTGTGTCTTTGTTCTACTACGCCTTTGTCCAGCTTTGCAGATTGTAAAATAACGCTGGTAAGCTGGATCCAGTTGGCAGCTGGGGTGTGGTATAGCTAGCATTAGTATTCTGCATAGACAGCCACATGCAGAGGCATTTTCTTTTCTCTACCTCTGAAGGAATAATCCACTTGCCTTTTACTTCTTTCTTCCTATAAGAGGTTGACTGATATAGATTTGTAAGTGCTTGAAAATCTATGTATGTGTTTTCTCTATACACGTCTATACGTAAAACTCAAGTGTTCCTCTTCTTCCTCTTCAGGATGTCAGGTAAAGAACTTGACACTGTCAGAGTTAACATTGAGCAGTCTGTCTTGTTTTCTTATTATCAAGACCTGTTTCTATCTAGGTCCTGATAGCATCTTCATCTGATCTGTTACCACAGTTGCAGACTCACCACCCAACCCCGCCATCACTGAATCGGCTAGCCACCACCCATTCCCGTATATATTTGTATCAGTCCCAGATCTGCCATTGCCCTGCTTTCTCATCTTGCCCTTATCTCAGTATTTCACCTTTCTCCCGGCTCCCTCTGCACCAAACCCAGCAATCACTCATCTTCATCTTTTTCTTTTTTTTTTTCACTTTTATCCTGCGCCGTCATGGAATCTTTTTCTGGTGTTGTTGTTACATTTACAAGTCAAAGAGTGATGGGACAACACCAAATAGATTTGGAGAGTTACAGAAAAAAATGTAAGATTGAAAGATGAAAAAATTTTAGAGTCAGTCAGAATCAGAGTTTCTTTATTTGTCATTTGCAGCACATGCGGTACATCTGGTGGAACAATTTTTTTTAAACAGGGTCCCAGTTACGTCCAACAATAAAATGTAAAAGAAAAACAGTATTAAGATCTAAGATATGAACTAAGAAAAACATTAACTAAAATTATGCTAGGCACTAATAGCATAAAAACAATATGCCAAACAGCAGCACGAACATGAGTCTGTGTGTGCAGATGTGTACGAATGAACACATCAGCTTGTAATAGATCAGCAGCAACATTATATGTTTTTTCACAGTGATTATCCTGGTTAGATATTCATGAGTCTAACAGCCTCAGAGTAGAAGCTGTTCCTTAGTCTAATGGTTCTACACTGAATGCTCCTTAACCTCTCCTTCCTGAGGGAGGCAGAGCAAAAAGTGTGTGTGCTGAGTGAGTGGGGTCCTTCATGATGCAGGTGGCCTTCTTCCTGCATCTAGAGATGTACATGTCTGTGATGGTGGGGAGACTGACTCCAACAGACTTCTGTGCAGCCTTCACCACTCTCTGCAAATATTTTATTTCTGCATCTGTGCAGCCTCCATGCCACACATTGATGCTGCAGCACATGATGCTCTCCACTGCACACCTATAGAAGGAGGTGAGCAGGTGAGCATTTATACTAGATTATATTATGTATTTATTTTGACATGTGGACTAAGGTAGACAAATGATGTGTCTGACGAAATAATATATTGATTAAGCACAGTTCTGTAAACTGAACATAGAGAATATACATGACACAACACTCACTACCTTACAATCGTCATAGACTTGGCTGAACATCCATCCATCCATCCATTTTCTTTACCCGCTTATTCCATTTTGGGTCACGGGGGTCGCTGGTGCCCATCTCCAGCAATCACTGTGCGAGGGGCGGGGTACACCCTGGACGGGTCGCAAGTCCATCACAGGGCCACATAGAGACAAACAACCATTCACTCTCTCATTCACACCTAGGGACAATTTAGAGTTACCAATCAGCCTAACATGCATGTTTTTGGTCTGTGGGAGGAAACCCGAGCACCCGGAGAAAACCCACGCATGCATGGAGAGAACATGCAAACTCCACCCAGAAAGGCCCCTGGACCGGGGTTTGAACCAAGGACCTGCTCGCTGAGAGGCAGTAGCTCTACCTGTTGTGCCACCATGCTGCCTTGGCAGAACATATTATTATGAAAAATTGATGAACAAGTTTTTTGGATAAATGACAAAACATTTCAACAAAGAAGAATCTGTCCGAAGGACTCAAACTTGTTAGATTAACATGAAATAGTTTTAGCAATCACGCTTCTTCTGTCATTTGTGAAACACCAAGATGTCTGGTTGTTTAGCCATTACCTGTGGGTCGGTGTGGATCTGGAAGTCCTACAATATCTTAGCCCTGACATTCATCCATTTGGGCAGCTTTGGCTGAGTGGTTAGAGCTGTCTTCCTCCAGTGGAAGAATTGGGGGTTCAATTTCACCAGCAGTGACATGCTGAATTGTCCCTTGGCAAGACACTGAGCCCGCCACTGCCTTCGGTGTGTCTCATTGGTGTACGGATGTGATCTAAAGCACTGATTAGTCTTTGTATAGATATAGTAGAGTGCTATATGGATGGGTAAATGAGGGCACATATTGTGTTGTTAAGCACTTTGAATATCTTGATAAGATTGAAAGGCTAACTATACTGTAAGTACAGTCCATTTACCATTCTCCATCACTTTTAGTGGAGTCTCCCACTTTGACTATGAGACCTACAGCTGTTTGTGTACAATATTTCAGCCACTTGATTATGACATTCCTTACACACATTGACTGCCTGCATCTTAGATCCAGTTTTTATTTGTTGGACTTTCCCAGGGCCATTGATGCACAGCCAAGATTTTGTGGTCCTGTATGGTGTAGCATGTACCCATTTTGTGCTGCCATGGTTAGTACTTCTGTGCTCTCCTTTTGACTACATTTCTCAATCCATTGATAGGATTTTATTAATATCAACCACTTCCTCAGCCTGTTGGTGGTACATGCTAAGCAGCGGCCTTTTTTTTTCTGCTTGCTCTCGACGAGGATAGACACTTTTTCCTCCTGCTCCTGCCTCCCTCCTGCTTTGCTCTTTGTGATTCCTATCGGAGCCTCTCACTACATACCCTCCGAATTGTAAATTATGGATCTGGTCAGCTGGTCTGTCAACGCAATTGATACATTTTTCTTGACAAGAAAACAGGGCGAAGGAGAGCCCTCATGCCCTAAAGGGACACTTGCAGCTGGATACACTATGGATTCCTGGGGCCATTGAAAGATGGTGTGTCTGTCTGTATTATCCATTGAAGACGTAGAAGATGCGTACATAATTAGATTTATTATAACCGTTTTTTTTTTTTTTTTTTTTTTGTGTTGGCGGCTATCTGGCATATCGACAAATTCGGAAGACAGCGGCAGTGGTTCTGGCAATTGTAAGGCTGCCTTCCTTGTATGAAGGAATGTACGAGCCGTAAGCCTTCAGACTCAAACGCTGCATGAGCTAAGCCATAAGCTGGATACAATTTCTGAGAATTGCAGGCCACTTGCAGCTCCTGGGACTCACTGGTGGGAAGAAATCAACCTTGGAGAAGGCTACAAGCTCAGTTTTGTGATGTGACCACAAAATTTGGCGGTTTGGAATCACCATGGAAACATACCAGCAGAACTATAAAGGCAGACATGGAAATTCAAGCAGAGGCTGCCTAATCCAAAATAATTGTGGTATCTAAATTTGGCTTCCCCACTCAACTCGAATTGGCCAGCTATCTCAAACATCTCCTGGTTGTTTATGTGAACGAGAAGCTCCACTCCTCTTCCCCCATCGCTCCCCTCCCAAGGACATCTGTGTCACAGTTGAGCCAGCTGATAGACACTGTGCCAACTTTATCAGGACTATGGAACTTTCTGGCAGTCCACGGACAACTCACTGCCCTCATCAGCCTCCTCATGCATAACTGTATTATGATGTCATCAGTATGTTGCTTTTTCATGTGCTAAGGTTGTTTTTTTTTTTACAACTTTCACACTGTGTCTCATATAGGACACAGTGCAAGATTTTTTTTTTACACCTACACTCCCCCTTGTGTTTCTATTTCCTTATCTGAAAAAAGGGCTGCGTCTCTTGAAGCCGGCTGCCTCAGTCACCTCCATCTCCCCATGTCTGTTCGTTATGTTTCTCTTGGATGGACTGTACTGAAATGTGATTTTGTTGTGCTTCGGTGCAACGACAATAAAGCTTATTCTGATTCTGATTATGGTTGTTCTTGTTTTTCCTCTTTGTCATCTGTTTTCTGTTGTTTGAGACATTCACTTAGCATTTTTTCATTGAGGGCTTTCTTTCCTGATTTGTAGCTGGTAATTTATACACTAAACAGGATGAAGGGAAACCAAGGACTAGCAAACACCAGAGCAGGGCTCCATTATTATCTAACAAAAGCAGACAATACTATAGCTTGTTCTGTTTTCACAATTATATTTAAAAAAAAAACTCATTCACCTAAACCACTTTACTTATGTTGTCAGTGGTATTTTATTGTCATATTGGAAGTTCCAAAGATTTTTTTTATCACAGAGTTTGACATGGACTGACCATTGAATACTGTAATTATGGAGTCATTTTGTTCATTGGTCTATTATCAAGGTTAATGAACATGTATCAGTACAATATAGAGGACTTTTAAAAATGTTGTTTTAGTTTTGTCTATTCTCAGACATCATTAGAGAATAAATGGTGCTTACACATGATTACCAGGTGATATAACCAAAATTCCCTCAATCGTTATTTTTCACTTCATAAACTCAGCGTATTGTGAAAAAAAAAAATCTCTGATTCACCTGAAATAGTTTGAACCTTCTTTTGCACTTACATTGAAAAGCTGTGGAATACATCTTTTGTTTACATGTTTGTGTGTTGCTTTTGCAGGCAGAGGCTTCCAGCCAAAAATGTCTACTACTACCGATGTCCAGACCATAGACGCAACTATGTCATGTCTTTTGCCTTTTGCTTTGACCAAGAGGACGATGTATACCAGTTTGCCTATTGCTACCCTTACACCTACACCAGACTACAACATTACCTTGCCAGCTTGGAGCGCAGAAACCTTCCCTATCTGCAAAGGGAACAGCTTGGACTCAGTGTGGTAAGTCTCAGGATGGAAATGACACAAACAAGTAAAAAAAAAAAAAGTAAAGTGGGTAGGAATGATTATGTATGTGTGTATGTATGTATGTATGTATGTATGTATGTATGTATGTATGTATGT